GAGAGAGAGAGAGAGAGAGAGAGAGAGAGAGAGAGAGAGAGAGAGAGAGAGAGAGAGAGAGAGAGAGAGAGAGAGAGATGTGGGTGCTGGACGAGCTCACTATTTTAAAATCTGCAGTGTATATCCTAGTTTTATCCCATGTTGTATGTATCCTGCCAGTAAGTTATGTGAATCATGATACAGTTTTGGTTGCTGTCTATAGATGAAGTTAGTGGATAAGGTTAGATCCTGGAAATTGTTGAGTCTAGTGAATTTAAGTTGAAGAAGGTACTTCAGCTAGAGCATTGGGCTTTTAACCTTCCTGGTTGCAGGTTCGAATCCCATCTAGTGGAAAAGCTATTAGATAACTTATCGGATAAGGTACTGGAGAAGGTACTTGAGCAACTCGAGAGCGCGGTGGCGAATTGAAGAGCTTTATTATTGTTTTGCACATTCGTCTGTCCGTTAAAAAAGGTAAAAAATGTAATGCACAGTGAGCAAAACTGGGAAATCTATCGTTCACATTCGCGTTTTCATCTACCTAAGCCCTCGGAAGAAATGGTGGCAGACATATATATGTTTTTTTCAGTGTTTTTCACACCCTATCTATTCACGGTGGCAGAAGGCTGGTGCTGGATTGCATTCGCGCAGTCCAAATTTTTTTTTTAATTTTTTTTTGTGTTAACATTGCGGATTTTTGTACTGGCAGATTTCGCACATGATGTCCTCCACGAGAGTAAAGGCTCACATTTAACCCAAAAAAAAAGAAAAAAAAGAAGCCTCACAGTTTGTGCTGAACCAAAGCATGTCATGGATGTCGTGTGCTGACAAGTAAGTCCTTGCTCGAACGGTGCTGGGGTGGGCTGCACGCCACGAGTGGCTTCAGTTTTGAACACTGGCTGTCATAGCTGAGGTCACCGGTTCGATTCCGTTTGGCTGCGTAATGATCATGGGCTACGATGATATTCTCACAGACAAATGATCGAGTTTCTTGTTTCTGTCTGTTTGACAATCAATTGTTTGTGGATTTGTTTGTTTATTTATTTATTTGTTTATTTATTTATTTCAAAAAGTCCAGGTTGTTGTAGCTGCTCGATACCAGGCATATGACAGTCCCTTCAGTATTTGGCCATTTGATTATCTTAGATTTTTTTTGTGGATTTTCATTTCAAATTGTTTTCTGCAGGGATGTCATGCGGGGACCCCCGGGCCCAAAGCCGGGGTGGGGGCGGGCCGGCCGTAGACCCCCGCGATGCCCGACCCAGGTGACCCCCGCCAACCATCCCCGCGACCCCCAGCCCCACCCTGCACCCCCGGCCTTGACCCCTCGACACCGGCCCTGCTTCCCTGCAACCCCGCACGCCGCCAACACCGCCAGCCACCCTTGCCCGCAGCCCCACGCAGCACCACTGCGGCCGAGCCGCTACCACGCACCCCGACCACCGGTGCCGCACCCTCGCCACCGTCGCCGCCCCTGCAACCCCGCCAGAACCCCGACCCCGCGCAATGACCCCTGCCACCGCCCGCCCAACCCCCTCGCTCCCCGACCTCCGCACCCCCGACTACTGCTACCCACACCCCAGCGCCCCGCCCCCCACAACCCCACGCTCCGATTCCCGCACCCCTGTGGCTCGAACCCTGGAAGCCTGCAGCCCCGCCCTGCCCGCAGCCCGCGACCCTGTGCTACACAACCCTGTCCCCACAGCCCCGCAAACGCACCCCCGGCGGCCATACAAGCCCCTGGTGCTTGCAGCAGTGACCTAGGGCCCACTGCGTGCAGGAGTGGCCCTCGCAAGCCCGGCCCGCTTGCTGCGGCACTGTGCGCTGCAAGCAGCGCGGGAGTGCTGCATTGTGGGAGTGCTGCGCCGCAACACTGTTGTGTGTGTGTGTGTGTGTGTTTTCACTGTTGTGTTTATTTTCTTTTTTTTCTTTTGTGCGGTAGATGTCTTGCCGGCGTTTCACGCCGTAGGCCTGTAGATGTCTTTCTCTATTGTGTTTTAGAGTATTTGGGGGCAGAATGCAACAACTGCGGTGTGACAGTGTGACGGTGTGCCATAACTTCTTTGGTGCTGCCTCCGCATGGTGTGGCAGCCCATAATATTACAAAAGGTGGTGTTGGGCACAAGGCAGTCCACTGCGTTTGCAATCCAAGGGCATGCCTCATTGACATGATTTGAGATGAGTTTAACTGTGCAAGCATGTTGAACCGTCCTCAATGTCGTCAATAAGACTCATGCATGCTGTGGAAAAGGGGGAAGATGGAACGGGGAGAATGGGACGGGGAAGGGGTGTCGCTGTTTATTTTAATTGCTGATGATCTGTTTTTTTGGGGGGGTGGGGGAGGGTGGAATTTGGAATGTCCGGAGGGCACGACAGTTCTTGCGGTACTTTTTTTTTTTTTTTTTTTTTCACTATGGGGATGGATTGGTAAATGGGGTTAGGGACCGCAGGGCACATAGGTGGGTTTGGTGTCTAGGAAATAATGTTGTGCAAACGCGGCAAACTGTAAATGGTGATTTTTTTTCTTTCTTTCAGCTTTCCAGTATTGAAAAGAGGTGCTCCTATGGGGATGTATCAGTGAACTCGGGTGGGGTGGTAGAGGTCATAGGTGGGTACGGACGTGTGGTGTCTAGCAAGTAATGGTGTGCACTGTGCAAATGCGATAAATTGTGAGTTGTTGCGGTAAGTGGTCTGTGTTTTTGTTTTCCGGTTCTTCAACTATTCAAAAGACATGCTCCTATGGGGATGGATTGGTAAATGGGGGTAGGTAGGGGGTACTAGGGGCCGTAGGGCACGTAGGTGGGTTTGGTGTCTAGGAAATAATGTCTAGGAAATAATGTTCAATGTTGTGTAAACGCGACAAACGGTAACTTTTTTTTTTTTTTTTTTTCAAATATTGAAAAGAGGTGCTCCTATGAAGATGGATTGGTGAACGTGGGTGGGGTGGTAGAGGTCATAGGTGGATGTGGACGTGTGGTGTCTAGCAAGTAATGGTGTGCAAATGCGATAAATTGTGAAGTTGTTGTGGTAAATGTTTTTTTTTTTTTTAATCCCAACTATTCAAAAAATATGCTCCTATGGGGATGGATTGGTGAAAATGAGGGCTGGGGGTACTAGGGTCCGTAGGGCACATAGGTGGGTTTGGTGTCTATGAAAGAAATAATGATGTGCAAACACGGTAAATGGTCGAGTGTTTGGAGTTACTTTTTTTAATACCTATTTTGAAAAGAGGTGCTCCTGTGGGGATGGATTAGTGAACGTGGGCGCGTAGGTAGGGGTCATATGTAGGTGTGGACCGTGTGCTGTGTAGGAACTAATGATGTGCAAATGCGGCAAATGG